CTGTAGGTTCTGACCTTAACAGTAATGTCTTTAAATCGAGATTCTGACCCAAAAGATAACGTATCCTGGAATCTGCAGCATATATAACTGAAACAATGTTGTTGTCTGTACGACAGTCTCATAAATGTGCTTAACTGTCATTTTAGTAAACATCGTAATACACTAGTTGCTCTATTTAACTGTAAATTTCTTGTAGAAATTATATATGAAATACATTGCATTTTGTATAAACTGTAACATGTTAAACAATCAGATAAATGATTATATTATTTATTTAAAACCTTATAAAATACGACCGATGCACTTTCAGCGTTTGAACCACATGTTGTTCCAATAAACATCATTATTGGACCCAAGTTTATCACTTTAGCCGTGTTTCCATTTTCATAGTAAAAAACTTCATCAAATCTATATTGTATCCCATACAGCATTTTTTTATTTCAAAGTCTAAGATATCAAATGCAAACTTGAATCTGTCTAGGCTTATATTTTTATGGGTCAGCCATTATACTTTTCTTGTCATGTGTATTCTTTAAAGGCTTCTGGTAATTATATATATCATGCAAAACAGTAACACAGCTAACAGTGCTTGGACGTTCCTCAATTGTCTACCTATATATTGAGTAAAATACAATTGGGCTCATTAAAAAGGACATCTGAACATATTCACGGTGCCTTTACAACGTAACTTTTTGTGGTACGTGTCAGACAACTAACGATCAAATTTTTATTTTATTTTTGAATATTTAATTTTTATAAAGCACGCTTATTCTAGTGATAAACACATGCATTGAATGTTTTATCTAAAAAGCTATGGCAAAAAAAATCCTGGACCTTTTATGTTTTAGATTTTGCCTTTCGCAAATCACAAAAAAATCAGTGGTACAGGCACCATGATATTGAAAGGGATATTTTGGTAAAGAAAGGAGAAAGATCTATATGACTGCAACATTTTTACGGTGCAAATGATTAAATAGTGAACATTCTTAATTATACTTGGAGACATATATGTTTTAACCGGCTTAACTTTATCACTTTTGCCGTGTTTCCATTTTCAGAGTTAAAAACTTCATTAAATCTATATTGTATCCCATACAGCATTTTGTTTTATTTCAAAGTCTAAAATATCAAATGCAAACTTTAATCTGTCTAGGCTTATATTCTTATGGGTCAGCCATTTATACTTTTCTTGTCATGTATATTCTTTAAAGGCTTCTGGTAATTATATATTTCATGCAAAACAGTAGCACAGCTAACAGTGCTTAGACGTTGCTCAATTGTCTACCTATATATTGAGTAATTTAATACAAATGGGCTCATTAAGAAGGACATCTGAACATATTCACGGTGCCTTTACAACGTGACTTCTTGTGGTACGCGTAAGACAACTAGCGATCAATTTTTTATTTTATTTTTGAAAATTTAATTTTTATATAGGCTAAGCACAAAAAATTCCTGGACCTTTTATGTTTTGGATTTTGCCCTTCGCAAATCACAAAAAAGATCAGTGGTACAGGCACCATGATATTGAAAGGGATATTTTGGTAAACATCAAATTATACAAGGAGATAGATCTATAATTATGACTGCAACATTTTTACGTGCGCTACATTTAGGTGCAAATGATTAAACAGTGAACATTGTAAATTATATTTGGAGACATATGTGTTTTAACCGTTAATACTTTATTTAATATTTATTTAATATATATTCTGGTAATATCCAATGATTTTATCTCACAAATTTTAAATAATACGATGTGGTATTTTACTTACATTTGCACAAATGAAAATATATTCTTAAAAGGGCGGGCTTTTACCGTTTCTGTAAAGATAATTTTACTTTTACGTACGCGTTATAAATGAATTTTATAAACATCTGATAGACTGGTATCAAAAACGAAATCGAAGGATCGTATCAATACCTAAATATTCATGACAGTAAAAATCCGCCCGCAAAAAGAACGCCCAATTTTGACTAGTGCGGCACATGATAAAAAAAGATTACTTAAGATGTTTCTCTTTAAACAGAGTGGTGTGATGGTTTGCTAATAAGAGATTGGTGTGATGTTTCGCTGAAAAAAGCGTGGTTCTGTAGCCACGATTGTTGCGAATCGGATGCAATGTGCAATGCCATATGGCGAGCACAGTACAAAAAGAAGCTCTCAAGCTGAACGAGATATTTTATAAAAAAAAATAACTGGTTAGATAGGCCTACAGAAAATAGACGAGATGATTATTCAGATGATAAAGAGGTTTCAGGATTATTTCTCAAGTAATATCTTTTGTCATTACTATCCTAAAATTAAACTATATTCAGATTTTCATTCATAAGGGAACACTCAAACATGCGAATAGGAATTTTGTTATTTTCAGCACCTGTATTAATGAATATTTTAAATACGATTAATCTGAAACGAAATAGGTTACGTCTGAAGTTTAGAAATGAAATTTCTTAAGACACCGGTTGCACAAAGAGTGGTACAAGAATTAAATGTTAAAAGAAGATAAAAATCTACAGAAATATATGTGTCATGATATGAATAGAAATGAAAACAAAAATGATTTTTCAAAAGGTGCATTCATCAGCGAGACAATGCAATCAGCTAATACCACGAAATAAGAGACGTTTACCTTGCAGAAAATGGTTGATATACCTACCTTTTACTATCCATCTCCGAGATAACAACAGCTGTAATTTTGTCTGATAACTTATCAAACTTCTCTGTCAAAATGTGCATAAGTCTCTCTTCCGGCATATTTGTTTGAAAACAGTACCTTGCTAGCTCTGGAAGGCTTTTGGATATACACATATTTTGGAGATATGACACCAACCGACACGCTATATCTTTTTCATCGTTATTTTTGTTCCGTACATACCCTTGCAGATAAACTTTAAAGATATGAACAAGCTGAAAAAATATCAAATAGTTGACTTTACATTTTTTTTTAAACTTTTGCATTACTGATTTATTTAATAATTTTCTAAAAGAAGACAAATCCGCCGTTCTTATCTGATTTTTTTTAAAGGGAGATTACTCTTGAAGTTGGTTTAACTGATTTTATCTTATGTTTACATTGGCTGAAAGTGTGGTCAGTATAATCCTAAAGATTAAAGCTATTGGTTAATGATTGGTTGATTGAAAATCATTTGATTTCTTTTTTTGCAGAAGTCATTGAATCTTTGTTTTGTGAAGAAGGGATGTTGGTTTCTATTTTGTATGTATCAATCCTGACTGTTAAATGCTTTATTATAAATATGGAGAATCGCATTAATGCATTAATTTGATTCTGTCATATATCCAATCCATTGGTTTAGAAATTTGTAGTATGCGTTTAAGTTACTTTTGATAGAAAGAATGAGGTGAAATTTTATTTGATTGATTTACTTCACTTATCCCTCAAATGAAAGGTTAAATGTTATGCTTTGTATATTGTATATATATGTAAAATATGTTAAATTTTAAGTACTGTTGCTTTGCTTAAATCACTGATTTTGGTAACCATTAATAAACTCTTTTGTACCTACGTTGCAGCAACCCAATCAATATGTTAAAAACATTAAAGACCTTTATAGCTTAAGTTGAATTTGATTTAAAAAATCCAGAAACCTACTTGACCCGTAGGGGCTTGGACAGTAATTAAATTGAATTGCGCCAAACCAAACCTATTTTACTATTACCACGTGATGATTAAGGACAATATTGCGACCGGTGATCCGGAACACACGGAATTCGGGATCGTTTCAAACATTGAGGGAACCGCATAAACTACTTTTATAGTTTTGATACTTGTAGCAGTTTATGGTTAATTAATTACATCATATGTTTGATGACCAGTATATCGATTAAAACTTAAGCTTGAATTATAATAAGGGCCTACTTATTCAGCACCATTGATTAACTACCCCGGGCGTACCGGATTCCGGGATTTTTTTTTCAGGACCACTGTTGTGACAAGTGACAATGTCGAATTATTTATCCCACCTCTTTGAATCGGCTCTTGTATAAGTAACGATTAAATGACGCTTTTGACAAAATTCTATCTTTCTTGAATAAAATGTCATTAATAATACAATTAACCTAACTATAACAGTATGTACTGTCTCTTGAAATTATATTTCATTGTTTTCATTTTCCCATCTGGAGGCGATCGGCTAGAAGGCTCCGATGGACTTTGATGTATCCAACATGCAGCTATTAGCAGGATTTGCGCATTATATAACCATCAATTCTTTTTGTTATTTTCCGATAGTGGGTTAATCGCCATTGTTGTACAAAGTGAGATGAAAACTTGTATGAGAAAACGTAGACAACCAATTTTCTTGCATTCATAATATTTGTACAGTAACAACGTAGCGACGAATACATCGACGTTCAGTTGCCCAGACTTTGGTGACTATTTTTTTTGTTTGAAGCATTTCATAGAATTGTTATTTTATTTCTTATATTATGCACGAATTATTCCTGTTCATGTAATTCCGTATAAGACAGCTTAGCTTCCGAGGGATGTTTCCAGATTTTTTACAGTAAGAGAATAATTCTATTTTAGTTTCGGTCACAAGTAGTATTTCGAGACAAAATATGTTTGGTCTGTGTCAGAAGAGGCAACATATCACATGTTTAGATATTGTTTCTAATCAAAAACATTAATTTTATCATGCAGAAGTCATTTATCCATATTCCAGATAATCAAAAGTCAACTACAAAATGGTGGAAGCATTGTTCTGGTAATTCAATCGAATTACACATACATATACATATATCTGTGTGGTATCGCATGATTCTGCCACTTACGTGTCACAAAACATCTAGAGTCATTCGTTTCTATAATTTTTATTGACGTAAAGACATGTCTAAACAAACGTCATATGCATATTTGTACGCTTTATATATAGACAGAATTTTTTCAAACGTTTTGTTATGCCGCTGAACATAAACTTTCAATATGAAACTATATTATCGTTAAACTAAAAGTAGTCAATAATGAATAAGAGCACACCTCTGATTCTTGAACGTCGTTCAAAATACCTTTCACTTTATCTAAGAAGTTCTCAGAACACTTGCAATCCCACTGAAACAGATGTCATCTGATGTCAAAAATTGCAGAAGATATTGAACCTTTAGCTTAACAAAGGGGAACATAATTGAAAGGAAAGTTTATGCAGCATAAGACTAATTCTTATGTTATCGGTCAACATATAAAATGTTCAAAATGGTTAACATTCGTTTCAAAATATGTTCACTGTCTGGAATTATCAAAGCACTTTTAAGGTAATTACACTGAACTGGTCTACATCTTAATTGTGCAAGTGTGCAAAGTTTAAGGTATTGGTGTTACTTTGAATCTAACTTTTTAAATCTTTACATAAGTTGTTCAAACTTAAGACAAAATAATTTATGACCTACCTGTTTGTCTAAAAGTTTAAGTTGTAGTTTTGGCATTTTTCTCATTTGTTCCTGGGCACAAAAATATCATAAGGTTCATAGTTTAATAAATATGTGCAGAATACTTTATAGTTGAAATATTGTGAAATCGCCAATATATAATAATTGAAAGTTTCAGCGGACGAAAACCAAAGTAAAGTTTAAACCAAAATTAAATATAATACTTAATGAATTATTTATACTTATAACTTTTTGAAATTATGTAAGAAAGCAAATTGCAGGATTTATTTAGAAAATCTGAACGAATTTCGTATTTTTTTATTTGATTATCAAGTCTGTCGTGTAGAAAAACAATGCACACAAATTTATAAAGTTGAAACTGTGTCAGCTTTGTGGACCTGTAATTTAAAGAAAAGGCAAAAAAAAAAGATTTATGATATAGTTTCAATCTATTACACTATACCAAGCTGTTATTTTCAGGAAACAAGTACTTCAGATAGATATTATTATAACGTGTGACATAACAAATTACAACATTTCCTTAACGAAATGTGAATTCACCATGCTACGTTCATTTGCATGTACATATATTATTACGCCAATATTAGCGTCAAATTAGCGTAATGAGCCTATTTATAAGTTGTTATGTTTGATGTCATTAATATAAGGTGACTTCCGGTAATCAGAAATAAAAACAACGTAACGGAAAAACAAGTGCAATCTTTTGATTATTTAGTGATTACACAGCACATTAAAGATTCAATATTATGTGCAAACTTACCTTGTTGCCAAATAAATTTAAAAATATGATGCAATTCATTTTGTGTAGTCCATTTTCAAAGCCAACCTGAAAAATAAATTGTTAGGTCAGTTAAAGTGATATTAAAAAGATCCTTTTAGAAGAGAGCAGTACGTGAGAGTCCTTATTTGTAAGTGCTGTGGGATGTGAGATATCTTGCATTGTTTTATTATCCCTCATGTACAGATTAAAACTGAGTTTGCAGTTTTCAGGTAAAATTGTTGTGATTAATGCTTCCGAGGGATCACATTTTGTCCAAAGTTTATTGAACACACTTGTCTTGTTTTTTTTTTATTATTGATCATATTGCTGAAAGTGGCGGCAATATTGATTCCGTGACTGTTTATTATATCTGCCATTTGGTTCCAAAACATCTGTGCTTTAGCATTTGATTCCTATAAAATATCATCATCATGATCATCAACATCATTTATAGCAATAATATTATTATTGGTTTTTTTTGTATGAGACGATATAAGGTGAAAAACTTACAAAGAAGTCGAAGATGTCTTTATATTCAGAGAGATCTGAAAGAAAGGCAAAACTTCTTTGATTCAGTGAGTAACATCTTAAAATTTAATAATCAAAACTCAATTATAGCTGTGTAGCATTGCGGGGAAGACCTGAATTTTCGATATAGATAAATGGGTCTTTAAAAATACCTTTAAAAATACGAGAACTGGAAAAAGCTATACTAAAGAAAATAGCTTGATAGTAATTTTTCATCAACGAAACTACATTCTCGTTTTGTTTCACAATCTATAGGATATAACCACTAGCGACTTATTTATTTTCATGCACGTCGATAAATTATCCCCGAAATGAATTTTCTGTTTATTATATACTTTTCTCTTTCTTTAATCTTACGATCCGAAAGACATGTATACGTACATTCAATCAGGGATGTTATATTTCCGATCCTTAAAGATCGTTCAGCACGACATTATTGTTGTGCATGTGGTATTTTAGTTCTTTCTATTCGGCTTTTTGTTCTTGGTGGTTTCAGTATCCCTCACTTCAATACTGTTAAATCACTCTAAGGATTTATGGCCTACTTTTTAAATTGATCTTTTGACGTAATATCTGTGATATGCCGGGTTCATATCCTCTGATCCCCTTTCAAAATTCAATTTTATTTAGTTCCGCCCATTGTTTTCTCGTTTAGGGCACGAACATTTTTTTCTACTTAGGGGCCATATGCCCCTTTTCATGGAATAGGACAGAAGACTCACATCGATACCCGCCATATGACAACATCTGCGGATGTTTTAAAATTCAAAATTTTACCAGTTCATGTTAAATGTTGAATACTGCTTAATCCGGTGCTATGGGGCGTGGACGCTAACTTGCACTTTTCATTACCGTCCATGAACAGGCTCAGTGAAACTGAGCCTTCTACATTTCAATTTTGTCGTTTTGTGCGTTCTTTAAAAATTCTTTATTTCTCTTTATTTCCCTAATTTTGTGTATTGGCTGAATTTCGAAGAAAGCCACAAAAAATTTCGGAAACTATGCAAAATGGGTGAAAAATATATATTTTTACAGTGAATATAAGGAAATGAAAATATGCATTTTATTTCATCAATATTTTTCAATATGTTATTAATGTACGTAATAAATCGGGAAATTCAGCTCATCCAGATAATATACATTTTTTATTGTTAGTTATAGATTTATTTTAGTAATACTACGCGTGCGTGACGGTCATGCTGATTTCTGAATAAAAAGTGCATCATATTTCTATATTCAGAATGACTCAAAGAGTATATCACGAGTGAAACAATTGCGATCATAGTCAAATTTAATTTGGTCAGTTTGTCAGAAAGTAAAAGCAATTCATTAATAATTTTTCACACATGTCGTTAGCGGGTAGCAAGAAAACATATTTCAATTGTTCCTACTAACATCATAGTGTGTTTTCGTACCTCAAATTCTTTTGGTCAAACGAAATCTAATCGGAAGTCATTTTTTTAAAGAACCGACCATACTTATTGATTTTAAGATAAAAGGTTAAACATACCTGTAACTTGGGCGGCTCTAAAAAGAAGAAAATATTTGCATAGAATCTACAAAACGTTAAATGACTAATTTCTATCAATTTCAAAAAATTGACTTTTTAATGGGCCATTGACAAATAACAAATTTACTTATAATAAAAATACCTAGTATTCAACTTCTTAAAAAAAGGGTCATTTAAAAAAATTAATACAATTTTCATAGAGTCATAATTGATAATTCTTGCGAAATACAGAACAGGATTTCAAATAGTTCTTTTTAACTGTTACCTCAACACTAGTCATAAACACTTTGAAGGACATTATGCCACTTTAATCGAAGTAATTATCACATCTTTTACGCTATACTGACATATGTTTTTTCTTGGTAGAGCGATTTAGGTATGTTGTAATATCGTAACTGTGCACAGAGTGTCTTGCACAATATCTTCGTGCATAATCTAAGCGTATCAGATTACTATATAAAGTATTGAAAGGCATTTCCAATTACTCGAGGTAATTGCATTCTTTGCTTCGTTCACATGTTTATTTTCTGTCATAAATGGATAGTGATAGCGAAAACGCAGGTTGACAGCCACGTGGCAGCGATAGTGGTTGTCTAATTATTCTTCTGTTAACTTTACTCTTTAATTGAGTATTTGTCTGTGTTAACAACTTTTAACTACTTAATGATTTAAAAGTGGGCGGGGTATTGCATGTTCACAATATTTTTAATCTCAGTGATAAAGCTTTTACCGTTCAAAATAAACTTCAAGATTAAATTACTTTCTAGTGGTAGACTTTATCCACATTTGTGTATGTCTGTTTATAATTGTAATCTATTGTTAACTTCAATTTCTAAATATATTGGATAATTTGTCTGATTGTGAGTTACCGACATTTTTACAACATTTCTGTGTACCTGTTACGTTATGTGTATTACGTCATTGAATTATGCGTTTTACGTCATTAATTTCTTGTGGGCGTTTCCCTTGTTTGTAAACATTGGGTTTTTACAGGTGATGATGTTTTCATAGCATGTCATAACTTAGGTAATTGCTTTAAGTCTATTATATCTAATATTTTGTATACCCCGTTTAATTTAACTTTGCATACTTAAAAAATAACCTCTGAATATGTTTGTATGTATTGCTGCAGAATTCTGCTCAATTGTGCCACTATTATTCATGACATCACACTTTCTGCCAAATTCTGCCAATTCTGGCAGAAATCTTTTTGTATCAATAAAGCATGTTTTTCAATGTGACCTAAATTGCTTCTGAGAATTCAGAGATGTGGAAAATCAGAATAATATACTGAATGTTTAGAACATAGATTTAAGAATATTACAGCATAAAATAGAATAAGATAATTTAACAGAAATATTAATTGAGAATAATGGAAATTTTGAAAAGTAGATTTATAGTTTATAAATAAATATTAATAGATGTTAAAGGTATACTTATTTTTATATAATTGTTCTTACTGTTCAATAAATATTCTAATATATATATATATATATTATATATATATATATATATATATATATATATATATATATATATATATATATATATATATATATATATATATATATATATATATAATAATTAAAAGTTTAAACAAAGACTATTCCTATTTGTTTCCATTTATTTAAAAAATGTTTAAAACCTAACAGTGTTGCGACTTTAAGAAGTTTATTATATAAAAGTCGCCACATCATATTGGGTGGCAGCGGTCAAGGTTTAGATTTAAAAAGAATTAACTTTATAAATACCGGTAAAGATATATAAGTTTAACAATAAATATATTGTACATTTTTTCTTAAAAAGAAAACAGTTAATAAGTATTTATCTATATATAAAACAGACTAAGATGTTTCGCTTTAAACATAGTTGTGTGATGTTTCGCTTAAAAGAGATTGGTGTGATGTTTCGTTGAAAATAGCGTGGTTCTGTAGCCATGATTTTCGCGAATGGGATGCAATGTGCAATGTCATATGGCGAGCAAAGTACAAAAAGTAGCTCAAAAGCTTAACGAGATATTTTATAAAAAAAAACTGGTGAGATAAGCCTACAGAAAATAGACGGAGATAAATATTCAGATGATAAGGATGTTTCAGGATTATTTCTCAAGTAATATCTTTTGTCATTACTTTCTAAAGATTTAACTTTATTTAGATTTTCATTGATAAGGGAAAACTTAGATATGCGAATAGGAATTGTGTTATTATCCGCACCTGTATTAATGAATAATTTAAAGAGGATTGCAAGTAAATCTGAAACGAAATATGTTACGTTTGAAGTTCAGAAATGAGATTGCTTAAGACACCGGTTGCACAAAGAGTGGTACAACAATTAAATGTTAAAAGAAAATAAAAAACTACAGAAGGATATGTGTCATGATATGAATACAAGTAAAAACAAAAATGATTTATCAAAAGGTGCTTTCATCAGTGAGACAATGCAATCCGCTATTACCACGAAATAAGAGACGTTGACCTTACAGAAAATGGTTGATATACCTACCTATTAATATTAATCTCCGAGAACAAAGCATCTTCCATTTCAACAAACCTCTCTGTTAAAATTTGTACTATATCCGGAGTCGTTTTATATGTTCGAAAACAGTACCTTTCTAGCTCTCGAAGGTTTTTGGATATACAAATATCTCTGAGATGTCGCATCAACCGACACGCTATATCTTCGTCATAGATATTTTTGTTCCATACATACTCTTCCAGATAAAGTTTAAAGATACGAATAAGCTGAAAAAATATCAAATAGTTCACTTGACTTTTTTTAACATTTGCATTACTGATTCATTTTATTATTTTCTAAAAGAAGACAAATCCGCCGTTCTTATCTGATTTTTTGAAAGGGAGATTACTCTAGAACTTGGTTTAACTGATTTTATATCATGTTTACATTGATTGAAAGTGTGGTCAGTAGAATCCAAAGGATTCAAATTATGTGTTAATAATTGGTTGATTGAAAATCATTTGATTTCTTTTTTTGCTGAAGTCATTGAGTCTTTGTTTTGTGAAGAAGGGATGTTGGTCAAGCTTTATTTATATTTTGTATGTATCTATCCTGGCTGTTGCCAAATGCTATATTATAAATATGGAGACTGCATTAAATTGATTCTGTTGTGTGTCCAGTTTATTGGTTTAGAAATTTGTAGTATGCGTGTAAGAATTACATGTATGTATCAAGTCATATTTCTACCTTAATTTACTAGTTAAAGTTAACCTTGCTGTTTTCAGTTACTTGTGATACAAAGAATGAGGTTTCATTTTATTTGATTGATTTACTCCACTTATTCCTCAAATGAAAGGTTAAATGTAAATGCTTTTTATAATGGATATAATGTAAAATATGTTAAATTATAAGTACTGTTGCTAACCTTAAATCACTGATTTTGGAAACCATTAATAAACTTTTTTGTACCTACGATGCAGCAACCAATCAAGATGTTAAAAACATTAACGACCTTTATAGCTTTTGTTGAAATTGATTTCAAAACCACAGGAACCTACTTGACCCTCAGGGGCTTGGGCAGTAATAATATTGAATTGCGCCAAACCAAACCTATTTTACCATTACCACGTCATGATTTAGGACAATATCGCGACCGGTTATCAGGAACGCACGGAATTCGGGATCGTATCAAACATTGAAAGAACCGCATAAACTTCTTTTATAGTTTTGATATTTGTAGCAATTTATGGCAAAATATGAATACTTAATTACATCATATGTTTGATGACCAGTATATCGATCAAACTTTAGCATGGAATAAAATAAGGACCTTCTTATTCAGGGCCATTGATTTACGACCCCGGGCGTACCGGATTCAGGGATGTTTTAAGGACCACCGTTGTGACAAATGACAACGTCGAATTAATTATCCTACATCTTTAAATCGGCTCTTGTGATAGTAACGATTAAATGACGTTTTTGACAAAATTCTTTCTTTCTTGAATAAAGATGTTATAAATAAAAGATTTACACAATGTACCTAAATATAAACGTATTTAGTGTTTCTTGAAATTGTATTTCATTGTTTTCATTTTCCCATCTGGAGGCGATCGGCTAGAATGCTCCGATGGACTTTGATGTATGGAATATGCAGCTACTAGCAGGATTTGCGATTTATAATACCATCGATTCTTTTTGTTATTTTCCGATAGTGGGTTTATCGCCATCGATGTTGTACAAAGTAAGATGAATACTAGTATGAGAAAACGTAAACAACCAATTTTCTTGCATTCATGAAATTTATACAGTAACGACATAGAGACGAATAAATCGACGTGCAGTTGCCCAGACTTTGGTGACCATTTCATTTTGTTTGAAGCATTTCATAGAATTGTTATTTATTTCTTATATATTCTGTAGGAATTATGTCTGTTCAGATAACTTCGTATACGATAGCTTATAGCTTCCGAGATTTTTTTACAGTAAGAGAATAATTCTATTTTAGTTTCGGTCAAAACTAGTATTTCGCGACAAAATATGTTTGGTCTTTGTCAGAAGAGGCAACATAACACATGTTTAGATATTTTTTCTGAACAATGACATTGATTTTATCAAGCAGAAGTCACTTATCCATATTCTATATAATCACAAAACCACTACAAAATGGATGAAGCATTGTTCTGATAATTCAATCGAATTACACACACATATACATATATGTGTGTGATCTCGCATGTTTCTGCAACTTACGTGTCACAAAACATCTAGAGTCATTCGATTCTATACTTTTTATTGACGTAAAAACATGTCTAAACAAACGTCATATGCCTATTTGTACGCTTTATATATAGACAGAATTTTTTCAAAAGTCTTGTTATGCCGCTGAACATAAACTTTCAATATGAAACTTTATTATCGTTCAACTAAAGGTAGTCAATAATGAATAAGTGCATACCTTTGATTCTTGAACATTGTCCAAAGTACCTTTCACTTTATCTAAGAAGTTCTCAGAACACTTGCAATCCCACTGAAACATATTTCATCTGTCAAAAATTGCAGACGATATTGAACCTTTAGATCAGTAAAGGGGAACATAATTGAAAGGGAAGTTTATGCAGCATAAGGCTAAGTATTATGTTATAAATCAACATATAAAATGTTCAAAATGGTTAACATTTGTTTCAAAATATATGTTAACTGTCTGGAATTATGAAAGTACTTTTAAGGTTATTACACTGAACTGGTCTACATCTTAATTGTGCAATTATGCAATGTTTTAGGCATTGGTGGTACTTTGTGTCTAACTTTTTTAAATCTTTAAATAAAAGTTCAAACTTAAGACAAACTAATTTATGACCTACCTTTTTTTTTAAGAGTGTAAGGCGTAGTTTTGGCACATCTATCATTTGTTCCTGTGCACAAAAAATATATTAAGGTTCATAGTTAAAACAATATAAGTGCAGACTACTTTATTGTTGAAATATTGTGAAAACGCAAATACATTATAATTAAAAGTTTCAGCGGACGAAAACCAAAAACATAATGACTTATTTATAGTTATAAGTTATCTAAATCATATAAGAAAGCAAATTGCAGGATTCATTAAGATAATCTGAACGAATTTCGTAAAAAAAATTATTCGATTATCAAGTCTGTCGTGTAGAAATAATGCACACAAATTCATCAAGTTGAAACTGTGTCAGCTTTGTGTACCAGTAAATTAAGAAAGGGCAAAAATAGTTTATGATATAGTTTCAATGTATTATACAATAGACCAAGTTGTTATTTTCAGGAAAAAAGTACTTCGGAAAGATATTATTATAACGTGTGACGTAAAAAATTACGACATTCCCTTAACGAAGGTTTTTGAAATGTGAATTCACCATGCTACGTACATATGCAAGTACATATATTATTACGCCAATATTAGCGTCAAATTAGCATAACGAGCCTATTTATAAGTTGTTATGTTTGATGTCATTAATATAAGCTGACTTCCGGTAATCAGAAATAAAACAAGGTTACGGAAAAACAAGTGCAATCTTTTGATTATTAAGTGTTTACACAGCACATCAAAGATTTAATATTATGTGCAAACTTACCTTGGCGCCACTAAAAGGAAAAAATGTTATGCAATTCTTTTTGTGTAGTCCATTTTCAAAGTCAACCTTAAAAATAAATTCTTGGTCAGTTAAAGTGATAAAATTAAAAGGTCCTTTTAGAAAAGAGCAGTACGTTGGAGTCCTTATTTGTAAGTGCTATGGGATATGAGATATCTTGCATTGTTTTATTATCCATTTTGTACAGATTAAAACCGAGTTTGCAATTTTCAGGTAGAATTGTTGTGATTAATGCTTCCGAGGGATCACATTTTATCCAAAGTTTATTAAACTCACTTGTCTTTGTGTTTTTTCTAATCAAGAAAACACAATTGATCATATTGTTGAAAGTGGCGGCAATTTTGATTCCGTGACTGTTTATTATATCTGTCATTTGGTTCCAAAACATCTGGGGCCGTTTCCACAACTGATCTTAAGTTATTTCTTAAGTTAAAACATAAGTTGAAAAAAAAATCTTAGCTAAGAAATTTCTTTTTATCTTAAGCTTAAATCATATTCAGAAACTTACTTAAGTAAAACTTAGCCCAGATATTTCTTAAGTTTAAGAAGTATATTAAGCAGTTAATATTTCACTTAAAAAAATCTTAAGTTTGTTGCTAATGAAGGTGGGGGTCTTCCGTTACTAAAATTAGTAACGGAAATGCTCTTCAATACCTAAAATTAGAATCGGGGTGTTTACACGCTGTCAAATCGAGCTGAAAACTTGTCAAAGTACCATATGAAACTAAAAGATGTAGATTATTCGGAAGCGCTTGCAACATGAATTATAAAATGAAAATTTGTATCTAAGAAAACAATATTAAGTTTTTTAGCCTAAAAAAGGAAACAACTTGGGTCACTTATGTTACTTGTCAAGGTCATGGCCTATGTATTAGCAAAAACCAATAGCACATATAAGATGATTGAACTTGGGGGGATAGACTAGCCATTACATCACTTGAATCTTAGAGGATAAAAAATTAAATAATGGAGGGGGGTGCAGAAGAGGCCTCAGTGAAGTGACTTGTAAAGATCATGGACTTAAATTTGATTTGTATAAATAAGTGAAGCACATCGAAAGTTTAACCTTGTAAAGACAGATGGCTAAAATTTCATTTTTTCATTGAAATGTTGCAATAAAATTTCTTTTAAAATAATACAAAAAGAAGGCGTGTAAATAAAATGTCATGCTTTCAGCTTTTGTGCTTCTAAATCACTAAGTATGTAAACAAGTCACAAGTTGTTTTTCTTTATTATTTATTCCCTTTTAATTGCATTATCAAATGTAAAACTTTACATGAAAAGTTTTTTTACATCACACATACATGTTAGAACAAAATACATATTCAGAAGCTGTGACCAAGTATATAGCCAATGCTTTCTTTTTTGACATTATGATAGCGCTTTCACTGCAGATTGTTTATAACATTCTAAAAGTTGCCAGCGTAGTAGTTTAGAAGATAAAAAGGTATGCAAGCTTATATCTCGAGTTCTGCAGTTTTGACTCTAATTTAAAAAATAGATAAATACAGAATCCCTAAGGAAAGCCCAGCACGGCAAAATTGAATTAAACATAAAATTTCATTCAAATGGTCACAAATTCTAAACAATTTTATGAATGGTTAAAGGATAGCAACAATATAAGTAAGATCGAGCTGTCAAAGGAGCATTGCACTCCAATTTTCTCAGTGCTTATATAGTAAACTACAGTAAAGACTGTTTACAGTGACCTTCGATGGGAGAAAAGAAAAAAGGTCATTATAGACAGGGAGTCACTGTGGACAGTCTCTACATAATTCGAATATATATACATATCATACCAATATTTTGTTGAAAAGCAGGATAGTACCATACTAAGGGTTTAATTATATTTTTATTGATATTAAACATATCAAATATCATTTATAAAAAAACAAGAGAGTATTAAAATTGCATGTATAATTGGTTAAGATTATAAACTACACCATAACATTAGTATTTAAAAGTTACATATTGATTAAAAATGTAATTTATATTGATAAATATGTTTAATTTCAATTTTACTAATGAGATGCTACTGTAGAGACATTTAATTTTGTATAATCAGCATGTTTACTTTACGGAGTTCAATGTCTTAATAAAACATTAGATACAAATCTTCACATAATTTCTACAGATAAGTGCTCCGAAAAAGATTAACAATCGAGGTTTCGAACATAACCACACCTTTAAGACGTTTGGCATTGTTTATCTTTACTCGCAAAAACACCACAGCAATTATGTATATACAGGTGTCTTCAATCATTCTATCGGCGAAAATTGATTGAATCTGTCGCCATTTTGTGTAATTGTCAACAAACAGCCACAGTGTATAAGCGTGTCGCCGATTGGTCAATGCAAACTGCCGTAGATACAACGCGCGTTCTGATTCGTCAATCGCATGAATACGTAATGAGAAAGATAAACATAGTGAACTCTTGCCTTGCGGCGTGTATTGAACTTTGTTGATGTTGACACGCGTTCTTGATTAGCGGATTAACGGTAACTGGTTGTAATTGAGAGGTAAACAAATTGTTAACAGACCTAGCGGCGTAAATAAGTATGACAGAAAATTATAAAAATCGGGCGACTTCAAAATCTCTTTGAAGTTTGTTTTAGGCAAAGTCGCTGATCCGAAGGCAACTTCTTCGCCCAAGTCGTCACCTAGTTCAAGCCCCTTGCAAAAGTCGCTGTTCACGGCTCAAATACCGTAACGGGTGACTAAATCATGGTCGTTGTACGGACTAGACAGGGAGTCGCTACATACAGACCACTTATATAGTAAATACTGTTCGGCGCACCTAACTATGTTCACTAAAGACAGAACGTCGCTATATACAGGGGGTCACTAAGACTACAGTCTTTACTGTACATAATTTCTACAAAAATAGATAATCTGAATAAAAGTCACATCGACCTTGACCTTTGACTAAGCAGGCTGTGCCTACATTTCATTACTGCATTATTGACCTTAAAAATCTTATCAAAAATATTAACAAGAAAAGCATTGATGCAAAGCATCAAAGGGCACCAAAACAAGAAATGCACCAAGTGATGATGAACTAATAGACATCTGATGACCAGATATTCCTATAAACTTTTCAATGGTTAATTGGTTTTAATTTGGTTTCAAGTATTGTATATCATTTATGAATGGGCGGACGAAAGACATTGTTCATCATGAACTTTGGTAGGCATGCTAGAGATTTGAATTGTGATATTGACAAATTAATGCTAGCTTTACTTGTTAGAGAATAGCTTTACTTGACGTCGACGACGTCACTTGGAGACGACGTCATCTTTGTCTTATATGTATTCAGATCAGTTGAATAAACTTTACAATCATGAATTAGAGTTGATTAGTAGAAGACATAACATATGCGACGAGGATAAACAACTCCAGTAGGTTTTATGATGCTGTTTACTTGTTGATTTACTTAACATCATGGCTGAAAGGAGGTAGAAGCTTGAGATTTCTCCGTTTACTGTGGTAGAAGACCACATAGCAACGGTGATAGGTGGGATGATGGTTAGATGAACTTGAGCGTGAAATGAGATTTTTCCGCATTAAGGAGCCTTGAAGGACAAGAAGGATTTGCAATGCTGATATTTGGTGGTGAGGAGATAAGGCGATTGAGTAAGAGCCTCCAAGACCCAGGTGAGGGTGATGTTTATACAAAGCTAAGAGATAAATTATCAGATTATTTCGCACCGAAGAAGAATGTGCACTATTCAATATATATGTTTTTGAAAATGAGACCCATGGAGGGTGAAAGTACACTTACATGATGCAGCGAGATTGCGAGAAAAAGCTGTGAATTGCGACTTTCATGACATTGATGCCAAGAATATTAGAACAAATTATTCAAACAACAGATAACGCAGACCTTATACGCAATGTGTTACACAAGAAGTGCGA